AAATTTTATGTAGAGATGAGGTCTCGCCAACTTGCCCAGGCGGGTCTCGAACCCACGAGCTCAGGCAATCCACTCACCTCAGCCTCCCAAAGCGCGGGATTACAGGCTGAGCCACTGAGCCCGGCTTATTCCATTTCTTTATTTGCTTTTTTTGTGCAATTTGAATGGAAAATTTCACGGAAACATACATTTTTGACAAATTTGCGCTTGCGTTAGTTTGTCGTGTATAAGCATCAGCAATCTCTTTGTCTCCTGAGAGGGGACATCAGAATGGTTTGCTAGATTTATGATACCCCCAGAGGGCACATGTGAGTGCAAAGGGTCAGTATATCTTAGAGATAATTTTTGTATGCATCCATAAAGTTTATACATTCTCTTTTATGGCTGCATATTATTCTACTCTGAATGTCTTGTCATTTGTATAACTGGTTTCCTCCAGCACCCTCTATACCCAGTCTTTTGCTGTTCTAAATGGGAATGCAGGAGATAATCTAGCATGTCATTTTTATCACAGGTGAGTATATATTTGAGATAAAGTCCTGGAAACCTGCTGTGTCATAGGATGGTATATACATTTGTACTTCTAATATTTTCAAGTTGCTCTGTGTCATAGAGATTCTGTTATTTTATATTCCTAGCAACTGGTTAGGGGAGAATGCTGGTTGACCCACTCTTCCAGCACCTCTACCAAACTTTGATTTTTACCAGTAAAAAATAGTATCTCAAGATGGTTTTAATTTGCATTTCTCTTATTCTGAAACAGTATATATTTTCACAGCCATTTGTACTTACTATCCCCATTTTTTGATTAGGTATTTGGTTTTGTTGATTCGTAGGAACCTTTTTTATATCCTGGAAATGAATTCTGTATGATAATTAGTTGAAAATATCTTTTCCTAGTTAGTCATTTGCTTTTTGATTTTCTGTTCTTTTTTTTTTTTTTTTTTTTTTTGAGTTGGAGTCTCACTCTGTCGCCCAGGCTGGAGGGCAGTGGCACACTCCTGGCTACTGCAACCTTGACCTGCTGGGCTCCAGCGATCCTTCCGCCTCAGCCTTCCAAGCAGCTGGAACTACAGGCGCATGTTACCATGACTGCCTAATTTTTTGATTTATTGTAGAGATGAGGTTTCCCAGGCGGGTCTCGAACCTGCGGGCTCAGGCAATCCACTCACCTCAGCCTCCCAAAGCGTGGGATTACAGGCTGAGCACCGAGCCCCGGCTGCTTTTTGATTTTCTTAAATGGTTTTTGCTAGATTTAATTACATAATGTTGAACTTATGAAAAATGTTTTTGTCATGGTTTTAGGTTTTGTATCTTATCAAAAAGCTTTTCTTAGGATTTATTTAAGGATAAAACAATTAAATGTTAGGTCCATCCGGAATATTTTTCAATATAAGGTCCAGTAAGTTCCAGTGATTTGTCACAACTTATTTATTTATTTATTTTTGAGTTGGAGTCTTACTCTGTCACCCAGACTGGAGTGCAGTGGCCGCTCCCGGCACTGCACCTGCTGGGCTCTGGCGATCCTTCCACCTCAGCCTTCCAAGTAGCTGGAACTACAGATGTGCGCTACCACGGCCGGCTAATTTTTTTTTTTTTTAATTTATTTTAGAGATGAGGTTTTGTCAAGTTGCCCAGGCGGGTCTCGAACCCGCGGGCTCAGGCAGTTCACTCACCTTGGCCTCCCAAAGTGCTGGGATTACAGGCTGAGCCACCGAGCCTGGCTCACAACTTCTTTAAATGTATGCAGTAACAAATTGAGATAGTTTTTTACTTACTTATAAAACCATATCATGACCATATGAAGAGCTAATTTTATACAATTAGCTTTTGGAATGAAAATGGAAATTTAAGCCGGGCTCGGTGGCTCAGGCTGTAATCCTGCGCCTTTGGGAGGCTGAGGTGAGTGGATTGCCTGAGCCCGCGGGTTTGAGACCTGCCTGGGCAGCAAGACCTCATCTCTACAATAAATCAAAAAATCAGCTGGGTGTGGTAGCGCATGCCTGTAATTCCAGCTACTTGGAAGGCTGAGGTGGAAGGATCGCCGGAGCCCAGCAGGTCGAGGCTGCGGTGGCCAGGAGCGGCCATTGCACTCCAGTCTGGGTGACAGAGTGAGACTCCAACTCAAAAAAAAAAAAAAAAGAAAAAAAGAAAAGAAAAGAAAATGGAAATTTATTTATTATTAGTAGTTTTTTCACTCATTCCAGGATAACTTGCTATGTAAAGCAATCTTCTGGCAAATTAATTCATACTGTTGGGATCCTTTACAAATTTATATCTTTTCAGTTTATCCCCTTAAGTCTGTATACTTTGATTCTCACTGTCACCCAGACTGGAGTGCAGTGGCCGCTCCCAGCCACCACAGCCTCGACCTGCTGGGCTCCGGTGATCCTTCCGCCTCAGCCTTCCGAGTAGCTGGAACTACAGTCACGCGCTACCACGCCTGGCTCATTTTTTGACTTATGGTAGAGATGAGGTCTCGCCTGCCCAGGCGGGTCTTGAACCCGCGGGCTCAGGCAATCCACTCACCTCAGCCTCCCAAAGGCGTGGGATTACAGGCTGAGCCACTGAGCCCAGATAGTTTGTATACTTTTAAATAATTTATTTGAAATTAATATACACTTTTGCTGCTTTGTGAGATATGGTATTTATAGTGAGTTGTTAGAGTGTAGGATATAAGTAATTTAGCTAATTAGATTAAAATAAACTTTAAAAGAATGATTAGATACCGTGGAATCTCTAATCTATCTGTCTCTGTGAAGCAAATATGTACATATAATCTAAAAGGTAATTTCTTTGGCTTTATTAAGAAACTTTAAACATGTGTGACATAATCCAGTATCTGATACTCTGGAATATCTGTCATCTAACAGTGATTGAAAGAAGAATGAAGCAAAGTTTTAGAACAACTGAAATATTTCGGGGATGACAATTGTTCTTGTATTTTTGTTCATGAAATAAACATTCACCTTTCTAAAGAGTTTTTTTTTTTTTTTTTCTTTTTTTGCTTTGCTTGTTTTTCAGGATGGGAAAGCCATTGTGACTATGTGGTGACAACAGTTGTGTTACTACTGAGTTTCCCACTGAAATCATGGAGGAAAAACAGCAGATTATATTGGCTAATCAAGATGGTGGGACAGTAGCAGGAACAGCACCTACCTTCTTTGTCATCCTTAAACAGCCAGGAAATGGCAAAACTGATCAAGGAATTTTGGTTACCAATCGGGATGCCTGTGCTTTGGCTAGTAGTGTGTCATCACCAGGGAAATCTAAAGGGAAGATTTGCCTTCCAGCTGATTGTACTGTCGGAGGAATCACTGTTACTCTTGATAACAATAGTATGTGGAATGAGTTCTATCATCGAAGCACAGAGATGATTCTGACCAAACAAGGAAGACGCATGTTTCCTTACTGTCGTTATTGGATAACAGGTTTAGATTCAAATTTGAAATACATTCTCGTCATGGATATATCTCCTGTGGATAACCATCGGTATAAGTGGAATGGTCGTTGGTGGGAACCCAGTGGGAAGGCTGAGCCTCATGTTTTGGGAAGGGTTTTTATTCACCCAGAATCTCCTTCCACAGGTCATTATTGGATGCATCAACCAGTATCTTTCTATAAACTCAAACTTACCAACAATACATTGGACCAAGAAGGGCATATCATCTTGCATTCTATGCATCGCTACCTGCCAAGGCTTCATTTGGTGCCTGCAGAAAAGGCTATGGAAGTGATACAATTAAATGGCCCTGGTGTCCACACTTTTACCTTCCCACAGACTGAATTCTTTGCAGTAACAGCTTATCAGAACATTCAGATTACCCAGCTGAAAATAGATTACAATCCATTTGCCAAAGGCTTTCGAGATGATGGGCTGAATAGTAAGCCCCAGAGAGATGGAAAACAAAAGAACAATTCTGACCAAGAAGGGAATAGCGTTCCCAGTTCCCCAGGTCATCGGGTTCGTCTTATAGAAGATGAAGGGTCAGAGATACAGCCAGGTGATTTGGATCCTATATCAAGGGGTCTTGAAACATCAGGCAAGGGTTCGGAGAAGATGTCTCTTAATATAAAACGAGATTTTCTTGGTTTCATGGATACTGACTCAGCACTTAGTGAAGTTCCTCAATTGAAGCAAGAGATTTCTGAAAGGTGGGTAATGGTTTTTCTGTTCTTAGAGCTAAAAGGAAGATTGAGATGGGCAAGGTATTGGACTTAAACATATTGGTTCTGTGGAATACTACCCACCAGTGGTCCCTAACCATTTTGGCATCAGGGACTAGTTTTGTAGAATACTATTTTTCCACAGAAGGGAAGTGATGTGCAGTCAAACCTCACTGCTAATGTGTTTTTTTTTTTTTTTTTTTTGAGTTGGAGTCTCACTCTGTCACTCAGACTGGAGTGCAGTGGCCGGGACGGCCACCACAGCCTTGACCTGCTGGGCTCTGGCAATCCTTCCGCCTCAGCCTTCCAAGTAGCCAGAACTACAGGCGCGCGCTACCATGCCCGGCTGATTTTTTGATTTATTGTAGAGATGAGTTCTCGCCAAGTGCCCAGGCAGGTCTCGAAC